CCGTCCAACTGTATATATATACCTGTTCCAGCTTGTTGACCTGATAAGAATACTACTGCTATCGGTTTGCTACCATTGTTCTTCAATCTCTCTGACCTGGAAGATTAGACAGAAACAGACATTCTATCTAATAGCTCTATGCATTTCTTCATGCCGAGGCGGTTCACTATTCAGTCTCTTGAACCGTTCCCCCCTTCACTTCTCCCGAATCTTAACGGTCATTCTTTATTCGCGATGGTTGTAGAGACCATGACTGGCATGGCTGAGTGTCGTAAACATTGACGCTTGCACGTTGTCTTCGCAGCCTTAGTCCACATGACTTGTCTACTTGTTCAGCTTCATACTACCCCGATTATTCCAGTGTCTCTTTGACCGGTTCATCCAAATGGGCAATCAAAACAGTCGCACCAAAGTGGATACATGATTAATGATTGTCGAAACTGAAACCGAACTTTCGGTACACTCGCATTTCATCATCGTAAACACTTGTCTGCACGGACATGATCGGCTAACTTAGTATTATCATTATTATTTTGAAATATGCACCCTCGCTACCTGTTTGGAAACGGCTGCCACATCTCTTTCTAGCCACCATTACCACCACCCATCCTCACCATCATCATCATCAGCATCATCATCATTACCATCATCATGAGAATCATCATCATCATCACCACATATTTGTCAGAGTTATAGAGATATAATTTTAAAGGAAATAGTATCCAAGGTCTTACACCATAATCTCGAAATCGATACTTCATTTGTCAAACTTTTAATGAGCAAACACGAATCTGTGTAAAAATGTACAAAACAAAATTGTAGCCATTTATGTTGAATTGACCTTTTTTTTGTTGGAGCCCACGAGAAGTGTCTTTCCCTATGAAGGTGGGAGCTAACTCCCGAGAGAAATAGTGAATTCATTCCTCACATGAGTATGGTTGATTTAACTAAAAGGGAGCAATAAAATCTACCGTCTCGATACTGTCGGTTAATTTGTGTACAGAATTGTCTCAATCTTCCCAAAATTCGGCCCTTATTTTTGGTCTCCAGCAATTCCATCAACCCCGTGGTCCTTTTTTAGTCCCACTCCGGTATCGAGTGTACCACAACTCTAATGGTGAAAATTTTCACACTGAAACAGTAACAATCACACAATCTATCGATCCGATGTGTGCTGTGGTCAAGAGGTTTAAGCCGCTGTCAGCGGTGCGCGTTAGTCCGGTGCGTTCCAGGTTCGAATCCCGCCACCCAACTATGATGATAGGCATTTCCGCTGTCGTTTGGCTGTGTACCCTGCCTAACCTAATGGGCTTATTTTATAGGTTTCCACGACTGAACTCCAAGTCCTCTTGATTATGAAGATTACACCTTCTGGTGTTCATCCGACGGTGTATTATAGAAAAGCACTCCTGCACTGCTCTTATCAGCTCTGATTAAAAACCTGTATCACTTTTTGGTTGGCAATAATCCGCCATATACTATCACTCTTCTTGTTAGGTAGAGGAGCTTTTCATCTCACCTGACCCAGCCCTTTAGGTCAATCCAAGTCCCAGGACTTTTGGTTGTCGTTCTCGTTTCCACAGATTTGATCGCTTCAACTTCTAGTCACACTTCGGTGTGTATGTGCGACGGTCACCTACCGCAGCGCGCCTTATTTGCTCTAGCTGTTGTAGACTGGAGAAAGCCACATGGAGGCCTGCAGATTACGTGGAGACGAGGCATGAAGAAATGCACAGAGCGATTCGGTAGTAATGGGTGTCTCTCGTCTTCCGGGTTGGAGTCCAAAAGACTCATTCCGTAACCGCATGGTTGGAGACATTGAAGATGATGATAGCAACCTGACAGCACTAGTGTTCTTGTTATTATTTCTTATCAGGCCAGAATGCTTGAAAATTTGCGTATACACAGTTGGAATGTGTACTCCATCCCCGTCCCTAACAATAGACCCAGTCCCTGTCTTTCTTATACAATCTCTCTTACGTTCTATGCATTATGAGTTTAGTAGCGATCAGTGACGTTCGCTTCATTGTGTTACGCTGTAAAATGAATAAATAAATGATGATGATGATGATTATGTGTAACCAAAAGATATTCATCAAATTTCTAATACCTTCATCCTCAAATTCTCTTCATCTACATACGTTCAACGAAACAAAACATCGTTCGATCATTTTCACTCCTACCAATTCACCGTTCTGTCCGGAGTTATGGCAGTCTAACTGCCTGGAGGAAACCAACCAACCCCCCTCCCCCGCCGTATCCCAGATAACTGTGGTCACTTCCAGGGCAAAATGGTAGGGAAATGATTGTGCTGTTTTGTTGCGAGGACTATGCTCCTGCTCAAATTGACGTACTCAGTTATCAAGATCCCTGTTATTGTTGACTGATGTGAGTTTGTTACAAACAACTACCGTGCGTTTTCTCTCTATCAGGTCTAACGCTCGAAACTTTAATGGATACGGTCAAACATGATAGCAAATACAATAGACTTAAATATGATGAATTAGTCGTGTAAATGTAAAGCACTGCTGGACAGCTGTTTCGATCTGGTTGATTGGAAATGTGCGAATCCATCTAGTCAACTGGAGCTGGGACCCGGGACCTCACGAGTATAAGTACATAAGCATACTTAGTACCCAGTCGACCACTCCGGGCAGCAGCTGATCAGACCGTTTTGCGTCGAAACAGCTGTCCTAACTGCTTCCTAGCCCAGGCCTCATTTACACGACGAATTCATCACGTTAAATCAAATCTTCCATCGCTCTCGTACACAATAGACTTACCCTTGTCGAAACGAACACTTAGCACCCGGATATGTTGTTACTCCGATCCGTTCGGACCAACTGACTTTCACCCAAGTGACATTCGTCTCTGAGGCAGCGTCAGTTCGGTTGACCAATCACTAGTTCGTTTCACTATCACTTGATTACGTAACCTCGTGCTTATTGTTGTCGTCCGAGCTAGGCTGTTCACTCGCCGTGTTCCCCCCACGCGTTGACGTACACACACACACACACACGCATACACTGACCTACCCAGTCTTGACCTTGTGTGTGTGTATGCGCGCACCGACTTGAGTGCGATAGACCTTGAGGTAGGAGGAGGGGTTCAGCGTTATGATTGACTTTGGTTGTCTTGATTCTTTCATTTCACCCCCGCCCCACTCCCGCACTCATTGACGAAGCGCGAGGAGGCCGAATGGATTGGTCTAACTCTGGAAGAGGCAGTGAAAAAACAGGTGAAATTGGAACATGAGGCAGCTCGGAAAAAAGTTCNTGGATCAACTATCATCTAGCCCAGATCAGACCACTTCCACGGATTCCACCCCCAGTGAGTTATCTTCTATTCATTTATGTAATTATGATGGGACTATTTGTGATGACCGACAAAGAGCATTGAACAGAGCTGTTTCGTCCTGTTTGGGAACTCATCAGTAGGCGTATTTTGTGTGTGTGTGTGTGTGTACCTGCGCATCAGGACTCGAACCGTGATCATTCCGGTCGANTCCGGTCGAGACTTCCAACTGTTACCTCACAGCAGATGCATTCAATTAGGGTGGGAAATTAACGATCATCTCCCACGAAGTGAAACTCACCCACATCCGAGATCATCAAAAGTGCCTGTCTGGTGCATCTGAACAATCGAATGGGTTAATCCAAGCTTCATAAGTTCTTGAAAGTCCTCTATTCAGTTTACAGTTCTTTTACTCCATAATCAACCATTGCGTCATGTGAAGACACAGCTGAGACGAGACCGAACCAGATCAAAATAGCTGTCCATGCTCTCCAGATTTTCAGTTCACATTTCCTTTTTTTGTACTCTGAACACCGCGACCAAATGCATCATATAATCCAAACAAATTTTCCGCAGTCGTTTTTATCAACTGATCTCCCGGTCAAATTATCTTTCATTCCCTATCCCGTCTATTTGCCCCGAAGTTGACACGGATAGTTTTGAAGAAATTTCGCCCCTTCCTCATAGTACAAGTAATCGGATTCGCATTTAACTCAAAATTACTTGTGAATAGTGTTATGGCATAATAGATTAGAAATAACCATCCTCCAGAATTGACATACATTCCTCAGCTCTTCCAATCAACCATACACTCGTGGAAGCAGCACCGAGTCGAGTTTCGCTCTCTCTCTCTCTCTCTCCTTGGAGCTCATCAGTAGTGCATATCCACCGTCCGGGATTGGAACTCCCAACCTGTTGCATGGAAGTCGTGAGTGTTACCGCTGTGCCATTGAGGATATGCACTACTGATAAGCTCCAAGGAGAGAGAGAGAGAGAGCGAAACGAGTCTACAGTGCTTCCGCGAGTGTCTATGATGGATTGGAAGAGCTGAGGAATGTGCGTGAAAGTGAAGTCTGAAGGATGATCAGTTCTAATCAATCAATCAATCAATCAATCCGATTGACTACAACGAAGAACAGTCAGAAACAGAAATTCGTGTTCTTGGCTCTGACACAGTTTGATCAATCGAAGTCAACCGCTCTGTATCCTCATTCCATTTTGGTCATTGTTTTTCGGTCACTGTCCACGTTCACGTTCTGTCCGATATCTGTCTGTACGCACCGGCCCAGAACGTTTCCGATTCTCCAAGCATAATCTCTCCCCCTTGTGCACACACAGTTTGTCTGACATCCGAACCTCTCTACTCCACACTCAGTTCACCATTCACTAATACGATCACTTCTGTGTCATTTCAGCTTCTTCGTCACCGTTCTCATCGATGGGCAATATTCTATCTCGTGTGTTTCACAAGGACCAATCCACTCCATCACGATGATGATGGTGATGATGATGATGACGATGATGATGATGATCATCATCATCCATAACGGGATATTTTTACTCCAGTCGCACGCGCAGAAAACCGTGTGCGTGATCATGATCTTGTATTTCACCCCATTCTCGTGATCATATTGGTCATTTATAAAGCATTTTTTCCACCATACCGTCGTGCGTTCGTTTCCACATACTCGTGTGTGTGTGTGTGTGTGTGACCGAGCTGGTCAAATGTGTGGGTTTGTTTTTTTCCGACGCGAATTTCACTCACGCGTTTGTGTGGGACCACGTTCTAGTAAAAATGAACAAAAATGCACAGGAGACAAGTGACGGAGTTGGTTTATTCAAATGATAGATTTTATCGTGTAAAAAGTAGTTACCGCGTGGACTGGAAAGCCCGAGAAACACCGCTGTTTCGACCTGGTTGATTCTCGTTGTCACGATGCACGAATTCATCTAACCGACTGAGGCTCGCGAACTCGGGACCTCATCATAGATTAAACGCAAGCATGCTACCCATTCAGTCACCAGGCCGCTAACCAAACCGTATTTTTTCATTTTCCTTATATAGCACAACCCGTCTTTACGAACTTAATACAGGCATCGTACCTGGTACATATCAGCCCTAGGCTCCCGAGGGTTATGACTCGGTTGGAAACCATCACAATCTGATTGATTACATGTTACATAGGTTCACACGGCTGATTAAACTCAAACAGATTGAAAAAAAAACTGTTCGATGCTGTTCAGTTCACTTTTCCACTGCTCTTTACACGACGAAATCCATCACATCAGAAATACACAAGTTCTGGATGACAGAGTGGTACATGCTAAACTCTACACTGTGAAAGGTTCCATTGGTATTTTCCAATTGGACATCACAGTGTCATCAGAGTGTGTTATTCAAGGATCGATTTGATCTCTAACTCAACTGCTCAGCCCTAGTTTATCTAGTTCAGAAATGCGGTTGCTACGAATGACAAGATTTTATAATGACTAACGGTATTGGGATCGCATGCACTCTTGTACCGGATAACGTAGATAGCTTCGGAGCTCTGTTCTGCTTGTGTGTGTGTGCGAGCGCGATATGCATGCAGGATCCTATTTCGAATGGGTTGCCATTTAACAAAAAATAGGAAAAGTCTAGTGGTGGTGGGATTCGAACATACAACCGTCGAGGCGATAATTGGATAACGTTAACACTGGGTGGTCAATGTGCACTCTTACTCTACCAGGCGTTCTTAGGTCGTTCTACTCTTTGAAACCTAAGACCTCTAAGGTACTGCCAGTTTTCGTCACGGTACATTAGATCTTTCTGAATACAGATCACACAGGACACGAGGAGAACTAACAAATCTCAATCCACATGGATGCTTAGAATCACGTCTTCGAACAGGATAGCATATGAATAATCGAAAGAGGAATCACGAAGTCAATATTGGAATTAATTCATCAAAGCATAGCACTCCCAGAGGGACAATATAAACAAGCATATAGAACTGGAATCCATTCTTTGTATTTGTATAACTTGTGTAAGCCTATATGTTTACATTTCAGTTAAAAATGTACACTGTTCGTCATGCGGAGTGAAATAACTGGTGGATGCCACATGCCTCGGTAAGTTGGATGGATAAATTCGAATGCGAGAAGATCAGTGCTCTGTCGGTGTGGCCTCGTCGTGGCTCAGCTGGTAGAGCATGCGCGTACAAACCATATGCGGCATCCATGTGTGGGTTCGAATCCCACCTAGGCTACTGAACTTTTCACAATCGACATACAAACTTCAAGTCTGCCAAACAACTATTTGAACAAGAAATAATAATAATAATAATAATAATGAAATATACCGCGAAACGTGCAAAATGTCGCTGATATTTGTCTCATGACGTAGTTCATTTACGACCTGTTTGGGAGTGGGGTCAGGTAGGGTACAGAGATTTTTTTATACATTTTTACTGCGAGAGGGTAGATGACGAATGGGAACGACAAGACAATATTTCAGGGTGCAGTGGACAAAGAGGGTCATCTAGAATCTTATACGCAAATTTAACGCAAGAGTTGGTGTGTGACCATCAATGAGTTCTGTGATTAACGAATAGATCGGGATTAATGATGCACGACTGTTGATAATCAAACCACTACGAATTGTTTTTAAGTTTTAAAAGACCACAGATGAGCAATAGGGTAGAATGGGTAAAACGCACTGATGCACGAAAGAAGACAGAACTGATGGTGGCGTTCGAAATTACCTCAGTTTGCCTAACTGAAAAGATAGGCATCTCAGTTTTCTCCTACAGTTGTATGTATAGGCCAATGAAGATTGCCGTCGATGGTGACTCGCAGGTACTTGACTGAGGTCATTCCAGATGGAGGTTCACCGTTAGGGTGGCGGGAAAGACTGAGAATGCACTCTGCACACTTAGATATGTTAAGACTGAGACCAGATTGATAAGAAAACTGTTGGATGTGGGACAGATTTTCAGTAAAAGAATGAAATTCCGAAGGAGATGAAACTGTCTGACATAAACCATATCTCATCAGCATACTTTTGGATGTGCGCAGAGGGTGGGAACGAAAAATCACTAATAAACGCAGAAAAAGATATGGAGATAAAACAGCACCTTGAATAACACCAGAATTATTAACGAGAGGTTTTGATGTCCTCCTTCCTAGTTTGGTGCACTGGACCCTCTGTATGAAATAGCGCTCAAGCTATGAGAGCAATTGTTTTAAAGTGTCAAAGATTCAAGTTTGAAAAGAAGGGATGATCGGTAAACAGAATCAAACGTGAACGAATAGCCAATAAAAACACAACGGACAGACTTGGCCGAATTGTTGAATGACTTACTGATAAAGGGCACAGGAGTGAATACAGTGTTCAATGTTTTTATCATCACCTAACGCATCACTTATAACCCAAGACTGCCCCAGCCAAAACGAGCTCAGAATCTGTTTGAAACAGGTTCAGAACGGTTTGCGGTTGGTCCAAAAAAAAGCCAATCGACCAATGAGGAAAAAGGGGACATCACCATGACAACGAAGCAGCTAATCGAATCACATGAAACGGTCTCCATTGACCAATTAGATTGAAGGGATGCAAGGGTGGTCATACTGAACATTGGTGTTCCTCTGAATTTGCGCTGATGATGATGGTGGTGTCTAGTCTGGCTCGCGAACTGTATGCGAACAACAACACTTCCTGCTCTGCTCGGAGAAGACTTAAACAACACCAACATCCGCATCCCGAGCAACAATGATTCCACATTATTTCTAACCGGATACTTTTCTTTGTCGTGTTGTGGAACCAATTCAAAATCACGAAAGTGATCTATTTTGTCTGATTTAATTGATGCGATATAGTACGTTTTCTTTCACTGTTTCTACTGAGGAGGCTATGATTCGTCTGTTTTGAATTCACAAACAAAATGCGTGCATAGTGAAATTTATCTGTGTACAAATTTTCAACAGTTCAGCATGAGGAGGCGGAGGAGGGTTCAAACCAGATCGTGTCCGAGTCAACCACGATCTTTAGAATCCGTATTTGTTCTCCAAATATACAACAGCTTCACGATACGGATACGGTTCAATAACTTGACCGTCACACTCTTCCGCTTTGGTCTCCACGGTCACACCCAGATAAGTCTCGGACGAGAGACCTACTTTCTCCATGATCAAAGTACACGAGACTCCCTTGACGAATTCAATTCCCCGACATTCACGTCGTATGGCACATGCGAAACGACAATTGTTTATGTCAAACGCCAAGTTTGTGAGCCTGTTAGAGTGAATAACACACACAGGGAGAATCAGATGGGATAAATGTGTACAGATTGTTCAATAGATGATATGTTTGTGTGACTATTATTTTTACTAGTTTTATTATCAATTGTGGTGGTGGTAGCGCAGTTGTTTGGTCGCTGTTACCGGCGTGCTTTAGAGTCCAGGGTCCAAGGCTCGAGATCCTCCATGGCCACCCAACTTTGGTGGTAGATAACTTTGATTTCGTCAGGTTCAACACCACACTTAACCTAGAAGAGCCTTATATGATTTGCCACTCCAAGCAGCCGGAGCCCAGGTTACCGGTTTCCATCAATGAACAGCGGGTCCTCGTGATCATGAGGTTTACCCATGTCTGCTGTTCATCACACTGATGTGTGTAGTAAAAAACAAAACAATTAACCATTAAAAACCGTGGACCGTGTCCTTAAAAGTAGCGGTTGTGGAGAATTTAGGAAGTGACAATGTAGCGCACTAACCCTCCAGTTTCAGTTCACTTCGCACAAACGTTAACCATGCTCTTTCATGTGCCGGTTTTGATTGCTTTCTTTTGGATGCAGCCCTAGGAGAAAAATAGATTGGTTGAAAATTGTCTTCTAAGCATACGTTGCCACACAACCAAGAAATTTCATTGAGAAATAAACTCATCATTTTTACACGTTGATCAAAGGTTTAATTTAGTGTTTGTTACTCGACCGAATAACCTATTTCTGAGTGATACCACCAGATATCTGTGTGCGCCAACGTGTGGTGATCAAGTGAAGAATTGCTACCAAAGTCCAGTTACTTCTCTGAAACTTGACGTTCAGAGGAATTCTTTCCCACAACTGGACTTTTAAAACTGCCCAGACCAGATATGTCACTGATATCAATCCTGTTCGTAGATAGCTCACCACAACACTCATTGGCAAAGCGACTTGTCAACGTATTAAGCCCAATGTAGAATTTCTATGATTAGATATACTGCCAAAGTTATCTTGAACACGGTAGAGCAATTAGACCAAACAGACACTGCTTGGACACACATGGCTTGGTCTGAGGTTTCTGTCCATAAAGTTTATTCGAGTGAGATTTGGTTCACTGGTTTCCATCTTGGAGTGACTTCCATTCAATTCTATTGCAAATGCTTCTTTCATATTCCACGAAAAAGCAAGTAAACAAGTTTAGGGTGTTGTTATAAGATGCTCTTTACGGTGCAGAGATATGATAATTACGGGAACACGATAAAGATAGATTGTATCGGTGTTGGAATACCACAGTTTGATGGGGGAATCAATCAATCAAACAAACAATGCCAAAATACGGAGTGGAATTTTAGGTATCCGCAGTCATCCATCGGAACAACTGATCGATCCCCATAGACTACGATTGTTGGGGCCATGCGTTGCTTATATCACCAAATAGATTACCATTGGGACACAATGTTTGCCGAGGCAGATGGTAGTTGGAAAACAAGTTAAGGTTGGTCAAACTCATAAATCGTATGACAGTATGAGAAACTCTGACTAGGAAATCTGCTCATATAGACCATGTTAGGCTTCCTGGATAGGGGACCTCGGGATCCTCATAACCGATGGTTAGAGCCAGAGTGTGATATGGCTGGGTGTCGTGAACCACGGCTCTCGTGTATCTATTCTGGCAATCGCAGTCTAGATGAATTCTCTATCTTCTCTTGGACTCCGCTGTCGCAATATTTCATTATTCACTGTGTTCTTTCAATCAGTGTGGCAATCACGAGAGATCGACCACAACCGGTGCAAGAAAAGCATGATAAACCTTTTTCGGTCAATACTGGCAGATATAAAAAGGAAGATCGATCGATAATTTCCTCATTCCCAACTAAATCGACTGTATCTATAGACCAGATCTACCCTGGAAACTGAACAGAACAACAACAACAACTTGAGTTTCCTTGTCATAAATACTCTTCGTAAGACATTTGGAACTATGTCAAGATCGGTCTACCTCGTAAAGCAGCTTGGACAGCTCAATACATGCATTGTGGAAGTTTCGAGCCAATTGCATGCATGCCTACCTAGTCTTGTTCATACCAATTCGCACTGGCAACACGATATTAAATGAGATGGTCTTGTTACGTAATATATACACTGAAAAAATGACTATCCCGATGAATTCGTTGACAAGAAAAAGAAGCATAACCGTTTCCCGGTCAAAGAATATCCCTCTTCTGTAATCTACTGCAAACTTCATTGCGTCCAGTGCTTCTCAAATGTATGGTCGATCGGATGAACTCAAGATTGTGAATACGAAGTGTGAAAAACGATGATCAGTCCAACGTAAAATTGATTTACCAATTTTAAGGTGGGTAGGGCGCCACCTACTTAGGCATAACAAAAAAAAGGTAATTACGTTAATGGGATTTGGAACTTGAACAAAAACAGATTAAACCGGGCAGTTTACAATTGTAAGGATCAACTCAACAAATCACTGACATAGGACGATCACAACACGTGTATAATTACCAAGCGTTTGTTGATGATGTAACGTCAATTGTCAATTAGAAGAAACAATCTGAAGTGATCCATGCAAAGGAGCATACACGATTGTTAAAGATAAATGAAGTGATTATAATTAACCGATGAGAACCGTTTTGTTGTCAATCAAAAAGTTTGTTCATCATTCTAACTGAACATTGGTAAACTTTCTCCCATCCACATTTATGTTTATTGTGTAATTCGTTCCTTGACAAATGCATTCGTCTGCAGTGCAATCACCAGCTGAGGTGCAACAAAATCGTCCAGAGTGTAGATGTGATTGATCATCCTTCACTCGGACCTCACACAATACCCCTATAAGACCAAGCGTCTCAACTAGCCTCTACTAAAGAAAGGACAATAAGTCAAAAACCGGGGTCTAGATCCGTGTCGGTGAACCACCAGCAGCTCACCCAGAGGAGTTGGCCAAAAACCTTGATTCTAAACCAACCACACAGAAGCGTACGAACCACGCACATACCTTCCTGGTTGTGGTGGCAGCAGTTACCGGCTCGATTAGGCATCTAGGTGTATTGAACACCTTGGACGTTTGATCCCGTCCAAAGGGCATATGATCCGATAAACTAGATATTCGCCCCCAATGGATTACGGTATTTACAACCCAAACCACTACATTGCTGTTCAGATTTTGCCTAGACAAAAGTTCCGTTTGAGAATTCCGCTGGAAAATTCATTTGCGTTAGCCTGGACAATTCGCCAATATTTCGCCCATAAACAAGCCATGAACATTTCTCTTTTGATAAAGATTATTGTAAAATAATTTGTTTGATCGGCAGTCTTGATTCAGACACGTATGAAATACAATAAAATTCTCACCCCATACGACCACACTGACCCGTTTCTCCACATGCGCGCCCTTCGATTGGCTGCGCCACACTTACACGCTCTCCAACACATTGTGGGAATTTTCACCTTTTCACTCACTAACATGCACCGTTGTTACTCACGGGATGATATTATTTGTTTCAAACGTGCCGGGACATGCTTCGATGGTTCAGCGGTCTGTGCGACTCCATTTTCTCACTGTCCAGGCTGGACCAAAAAACGCAAGCGTGCATGTTGGGAAGTTGCCCTTAATTGCACCCCTGTGTCAAAGATGACTGTCCCCTCATTGGTCAGCACCGACACTCGGTCCCTGTTTCCCAAAATGTTGGATTTAACTAGTGTCCTCCGATCAGGAATTCATGCAAACACGTGTGCAATCTGTGTTCAAGAATCCTGGTTGAATAAGGACGTAGATGACTCTCTAGTGTCAATAGACGATTTTCAAGTTTACCGGCAGGATTGTGGAACTGGAGGAAAAAGACCGGATGGGGTGTTGCTACATAGGTCAATGTTTCCTGGTGTGGCAAGTTTCATGTTGTTTATCAGTACTGCTCAAAAGATATCGAG